GCAGCTTTTTAAATTTTAATATTAGGTAAACCTTGGTATGGACTTAATTTTAAGTAATAAAATATATGAGACATTGTAGTGTAATTAATTAATTAATTGCATTTCGAAAAAATACTTAAAAGTGCACTTAAATAAACCAGATGTTTCTTAAGACCAGTTCAGAGCAAATTATTTTGTAATAAAGTTATATGCCTGTAATATTAATTAAGCAGTGGTTTTGTGAGCTTATGCATACCGTAGTAATCCACCTATACTGATTTGTACCTAGGAAAAAAATTATAATGATTAAAAATAATAACAATAATTTTATGTGTAATGCAGGTAATTTAATTAGATGCTAAAATGTGTAAGTTAATATTGTGTAGAATTATATAAAAGAGAGTGTGAGATTATTGGATTTATGCAAAGGCATAAACTACTGAATGTTAGAAATTCTGCTAAACAAACTTGATATTCATGCAAGGTAATCTGATAAAATGAATTACTAATTAATCTTTTGGACTAAGTATTAACAGTAGTACATTAAACAGTCTATTCAAGATCAAAAATTGGTTAACAATGCTCATAGTAATGTAAAGACACATACATTATAATAATATGTTCTTGGTACCTATCTAGGAAATGCAGCAATTGTATGACCCTGCTGTTGAGTATAATATAACAGTAATTCTGCTTGCTTATTATTGTAAACCAAAATGTCGTTTTTAGTTTTTGTTATCTGTATTAAAAAATAAGATTTTGTGTCATTTTTTTGTCGATGCAATAAAAATTATTACATCATGCTGGCAGTCATACTTAGTTATCGATTTATTGAGTTATTTTTTCAGAAAAGTATTCAAATTGCCAAAATTCGTGCTTGACATTTCAATAAAATTATTGAATTGGGCTAGTTGGGTGGAAACTACTTTTACCTTACCTTAATAAATAATAAAAGAATGTTAATCCCAAACCAAAAAGTTGGTTTACATATACTTAATTCACATTTTAAATTCATTACCAACACCTTCAACTGCAATACATTGCTGCATTTCTTAATTTTATAGTAGGTAATTGTAAAAAAACGTAAATTAAATATTAATAATGCAGTTTTTTTATTGTTTATACTGTGTAAATACGGTAACTATTTATATACTTTACAGAATAAAATAATCTAAGAATAAGAATATTTCATTTACCGTTATCCTAAAGTTTCCACTTTATTGCTTTAATAAAATTACCAGCTTTTGTCCGCGACTCCGTTCGCGTGAAATAGTGACTACTTCCTGCAGATTTTTGGTATAAAAACTATTTTTTTTTTTTTTTTGGTGTCGTGTTGGAAAATTCTCATGGAGACCCACCGCCCTCGGGGTAAGGGCGAAGGGTACTGTCAGATTCTTACTGACTAAAAACCAACCCGGTGTTCCTCCAATAACCCATGTGTCGGAGGGGCGGGTATCGCCGAAGCAGTCGTCGCAACCCCCCGACGGGTATTGGCCCGCCAGATGGTAAGGCGGGCCCCGTCACCCACTGCGGCCGTCACCCCGACCGCAGGACTCCACTATGAGGCGCGCGCGGAACACGGCACCGCCGCCTCGAAGCCTGCTGCTGGTCGGACGACTAGACGCCCCGAGTCTGTCGTCCGCAGGCCGCGCCCTACGGTGGCCGCAGGTCGGCCACTCTACGACGTCTAGTGCGTCTGCTGCGGGAGGGAAGAGAGGAGGCAGCCTCTCTCTCCCTTTCCGCCGCCTCCTTTGCGAGCATCACGGCCTCGCAAAAGATAGCGACTGCACTCCACCCTGACTCGCTCGCGACCATAGTAGACACTACAGCCGGAAGCGAGAGATTTCCCGCAGCACCTACGGCCGCGACCAGGTCACGGCGCTGCTCGGCCCAAGCTGGACATTCCGCCAACGTATGCAGCGCCGTATCGTTGCGGCAATTACCACAATGGTGGCACTGGGACGTCCGCTCCCGGCCGGCGACACAGGTACTTCCCGAAACATCCGTGTCCGGTAAGCACCTGCGTCAGCCGGATGCTGAGGGCGCAGTGGCTCCTATTGAGCCACTCCTGTAGAATTGGCCTTACCGCCGCTATAGTGGCGTGCCCCGCCGTGGGTTGCGCTAAACGCGTCTGCCACTCCACCACTAGACCTGGCGGAGTTCTGCCCTGCGTACCGTATAAAAACTATCCTATGTCCTTCCTCGAGTTCCAAACTATGTCTCATGTCTTCGTCAAATTTCACAGAAATCGGTTCAGTGGTTCAGGCGTGAAGAAAAGACAGACAGAGTTACTTTTGCATTTATAATATTAGTTCGGATGAACAAGCATCAACCTTTACTTCTTATCCATCTAGATAAAACAATAAACTGGCATATTTCCAAAATCCACATCTTTTTGTAAATTATTATTTTTGTTAATTAAGACATTCAGGATGCTGGTTTTCGGAGTCCGTTCGGTCTCACAAATCTGCTTGATTGAAGGAATGACCTTGATCTTGGAATAAATGCGCAGCTGCATTATTGAATTTACTTGGCACTATTTGTAAAATTATTCATTTTTTAATTTTACTTTCAGCCTGGTTATGGCGGCCCAACACCCCAACAAGGATATGGCCAACCACAGGGTTACGGAGGGCCCCCTCCAGGCCAGCTTGAAATGGGACACGGACCGTACCCTTCGATAGGCGCTGGTGGTGGAGTAAATCCTCAAGTGCAACAATGGTTCCGTGCAGTCGACAAAGACCAATCTGGTTTTATTACTGCTAATGAGCTCAGGGCAGCATTAATAAATGCTCAGGGCCAATCGTTCTCTGAAACTGCCTGTAATTTGATGATCGGTGAGTGTTTTTTTAGTTGTTAACGATAACATAAAACTATATTCGATAGTCGCTCGGCGAGTAACATGTAGATACTAATAAGTGTAAATACCTAAGTATATAAATTTGAAAGCGGACACTGTTGTCATGTTCGTGAATCCCTTACCTGTGTACGTATATGTAGGTAATGTACCTACCCTAATAATTCTAGCTGGAATTACTTCCCATCAACGATTTTGATGTCGTTTGACATAGTAAGTCTTTTAGAGTGGAATATATAACAGAAACAGATGTTATTTACTGTACCTACTCACTCTAAATAATTTGAAATTAAGACAGATAATATTTTTTTAATCTCATCTATCTCATCATTAAACCTATTGCGTTATAATATTATTTTTTTGTTCAGGGATGTTTGATAAAGATCGCTCGGGGCACATAAATGTGGAAGAATTCGAAAAATTGTACACCTACGTCAACCAATGGCTGGCGGTCTTCAAGACTTATGATACGGATCAATCTGGAAACATTGAAGAAAAAGAACTTGCCGAGGGTATGTATGCCTTACGCCTTACTATAAGCTGAAGAGGTAAGAGGCAACATAGATATTATTTTTGCTGACCTAATAGACTACCTACCTGCTGTTTTTTCGCAAGGTGGTTATTTACGATATTTTCCTTAACCATTATCATCATATCCGCCATAAGCCCTTTGCTAAACACAGGCTTCACCAATTAGGTACCTCCAGATAGGCCGGCTGCATCAAGGGGCTCTAACCCCTAAAAAATATTAGGTCACAGCTCATTACAGCCACCCGGCATCCACCCTACACCGTCTCGTTTATATATTAGACTTATTAGAGCCTCGTCGCACGGCGTCGACAGGTAGTCCACGGGTGGACGTCGTGTTATCACCAATAAACTTCCCTCGGTCAACGAGTCAACGCCGAGTGACCAACGAGTGGGCGCCGCTTGATCCACGAATTTTTGAATAGTCTGTTAATAATTGACACTACGGCATCTCGCGGTCCGCGTGTTAGTCCAGTCAATGCAGGGCAAGGCAAGCATTCTTCCTAACAGCGAGTTGTCACCGAATGATCCACCTTTCGTTCTCGCCTGAAGGGCTTACAAACCATGGCGATCTCATACAGAAATACTAGCGGCAGGAGGCGAGTCGGTGGATGGTGGGCGCCGGGTGGCTCGAATGAGTTGTGACCTATAATACTTAAGAACGTTCGGCTACCACGATATTCTAGGCACTTGATGCGATAAATAAATATATTGTCGATTATTTTAAGGTACATAACTATAACGGATTTGAACTGTTAGTATTACAAATGTACCTGAATGTCTCCTACATAAAGTAAAATATATACTTTTTGTGGGGAGAATATCATTAAATGACCTCTCACTGAGACTGACACTGAGAGGCTCTCAGTGTCAGACTCTTACTGATTGAACCCCCACCTCCCCGTTTCTTTTCTTGCCACGGTGCCTCATTGCGCTTGCCCTTGCCCTGCTACCTTGAACAGCAAGTGGAATATCTACAGATATATTTTGTTATATGTTTCAGCATTGACAAAAATGGGATTCCGGTTTACACCAGATTTCGTGAACTTTTTGATGAAAAGATGCGATAACGGGAAGGTTTCTGTAGACAGCTTCATCGTTTTGTGTGTGCAGATACAACGTTTTACTGAAGCATTTAGAACTCGCGACACGCAACAAAATGGAACCGTTACTATTGGATTTGAAGATTTCCTTACTGTTGCACTAAGTTGCTCTATATGAAACAAACAGTAAACAGTTTTGGAGCTGATGCAACGCTATTCATTGTTCTACGTGGAGTAAAACAGTGTTCACAATAATAATAATTTATAAAGCTTCATAACTATCCCCTTGTGTTTCTATTTTATGACAGTTGATTTTATCTTCATAAAAAAAGATGTAAATATGACCAATTATTTTTGAATAATAGAAATCAAATGTCTTCAAATGAATCAAATTTTACCTGTTGTTATTACTGTTTATTTAGATTTTGGATATCACTGCATTATGCTAAATGTACTTTGAAGAAGCAATACCCACCTGTTATTGAGATCTTTATTTTTGCTATAATTATACAATCAACCTTCGCGCTGATTCTGTATTCACGAATCTAGCCTATTGCTTGGTAAGGGGAAATAAATAGATTATTTAAAAAAAATTGTTTTATTTTTTGTTAAGGATTTGTTGCTGTTGTTTTACACTATTATCATTTTGGTCCCGAAAACTTCAGTTTCATAGTTTTGTGTGGTGGTTTCAAGTTCACAAAGACAGTTTGGTGCAGGTTATTTGATACTTTTCACTATATAATTATCAGAAGGAAGGTCCTCAAAACTCCAGAGATATATCTGTTTAAAAAAAAAAACAAATTAAAAATATTGGCATTGTAATGAAAATTATTCATGTTAATTGTTAGTTATACATTTGCTTCAAAATTTAACCACACTTACTAGCATCATTCTTTCTTCTGATAGCCTCAGATTTTTCAAGGGAAAATACCACCTCCTGAAAATTTTTCACTGCTGCTCTCATATTTGTTTCATGTTGAACATGATCCGGGGAGCTGTCATCTAACAAACTATAGATTGATGGAATCTCATCCAGTTTCATATTCTTTGCATTATTTGGTTTGAATACAACAGACACCTTGCCAGTTTTTGGATGTATACTGAATGGTGATTTAAGTAAATGGTTGAAACCTTTAGTAACATTTACATCTAATCTAGGATAGCTGTACTGAATTTTGATTTCTTCCACTAAGTACCTTATTTTTCTGACGTTGTTTCCTGACTGTGAAGAAAGAAGAGCAATGTTTAAATTTATATCAATGCATTCTGCGTTACATAATAACATAACTTACCTCTCTGCAATGATTTTCATATAAACTTATGAATGTATTCCATCTATCTAAAGATGTTTCAGGCATATTTTCTAAGCTTTTTTTAACTAATGACTTCAATGTTTCATCAGGAATCATTTTTAATAGCTTTTCCAGTCTGTCTGAAGTGCTAAGAAACTCTTGCTCCTGTAGCAACTGTTCAAAATACTTATCAATAATAGTGAGTGCTCTCCTGAAATAAGACATTAAGTTGGTGGTCAATTAATAGTTAAGCCTGTTAATAGTCATGTACCCAGTGCATACAATTACAAAAAAATATGACAATTTGGGATTAATTAGTAAAAATTGGTAATTTGATTGTTATGAGCTGTACTTGTCTACTATATCAATCATAGACAGCTCATAATAGTTTAGAATACAAATATTTTTCAAGACCTGATTCAAATTTTTACCTGATACTTGAATGTAGATTGTCACTTCCAAGATGGACTTTCTTGTTTTGATTATCACCTCCCATTATTAAGCACATGTAATCTGCCACTGCTCCCCTACCAGGACTGTCCAATGTCCGAGCTTCATAGTCTGACACCCAACAATGTATACCTCTTCTACCAGAAAATACCCACAAAATGCTTTGAAAACCAAAATCCTCTGAAAATATGTAAATTAATATAAATCAAGCTTTTTTATTTTAGTTAAAAATTTACTAACTAGCTTTTGCAGCACTCAGAACCTGGTTAAAAACTAGCCTATGAATTATTCAAGACTATCTAGTAGTATAGTAGTATTTAGTTTTTTGTCAATAAGTAACTCACATAAAATCATCCATACGTACAAGCTTTCACATATATAATATTAGTAGGAATTATTAATTTAATTTACATTTATCTTTTGATTTCAAAACGGTATACAGCAAAATAAAAATATTTCTCATTCATTACAAATTACCTCTTAGTGTCTTATCAATAATTTCACAAGCTATTATCATAAATTTCCAGCATTTCTCACAAACTTTGGCTTCTTGACAGCATGTTCGGACTTCATCATAATCTGTTAGATCTATATCAAACACCAGCTCTCTGGACAACACAACTGCGTCATGACGGCCTATTGATGGTCTGTGGATTACAACAAAAAACTAAAATTCCATACACAGCTTGTATCTACGGCAACATTATTATATAAAATCTTCCATACTTTGTATTATAAACGGCTCCAATATCCAACTTATGGGGACATTTCTTCTGGAGCAGAGTTTGCAATTCTTTTTGATTACAAATAGTTAAATATCGCAAATAGACGTCATCAGCTAAAGTAAATGATAATTCTCGGTTTGAAAGTGGCTGTGGATAACTCCCACAAGTGAGCCACCTACAAAAGATGTTTTGCGGGAAAAGCCGAGTGTAATAAATAGGCAACATTTCGGGTAACATATTCTCGTCATATTGCCCGACCTGTAAACCAAAAAGGTTTAAAATTAAAAACACAACACAAGGTTTTGCCGAAGCCTAAGAAGAATATTGAAATTTGTTACCATGATTTATAAATTGCAGGTTTGTTTCAATTTAACCACTAAATGTAATGTTCATTAAATGCCAGATGATCTCTATGAAGATACGTCACACAATATTAAATTATTCGCAGAGAAAAGCCGGAAAACGGGAACACAATTTGTAGAATGACGTTCACGCCAAACCAAATTAAAAAAACTAAACTGTCAAATTTTGGCGCCAAATAGGCATAGAGTAAAATGTTTATTTTTATTCTAAGCTTGAGAAGTCGTAGTCAAGATCGTAAGGAAACATTCAAAGAAAACAAAGTTGCCAATTAAATCTACACGTTTCCCATGCGAGCCTTATTTCCGACAAAAACGTTAAATTAAAAAAGGTAAAGAGCCCGCTTTTGTGTTATTAATAAAATACAAAAAAAAAACTATGTGAATTTTTAAACTAATTTTGCAAAGACATTATGAAACAACTTGTAAAAGTGATAGAGAATTTTAATACCGGGTGGTAAATTAAAAAGATCATTATACCCTCTTATTTTAATATTGTTCATATTTTTACGAAACTTTAAAATGGAGATTAACATAAATAACGCATTTAAAGAAGCAATAAAACTAACATGTGGTAAGTAAACCTTTATATATTGTAAAAACTAATATTTTTTTAATAACGTAATACATTTTTAACGCTCATATCTTATCAATTATGAAAATCGTGGAAATAAGGCTTTTTTAACATAAATATTTTGGTTTCATTTCAGGACCGTGTGTAGAAAAATATCATGTTCTCACAGAAGTCAATCAAAAAATATGGATACGAATAATCAATTATTTACTGAAGAAGCCTGTTTTATCAACGGTGTTATTTTCAATATTTTTAATTTTATTCAGTTTTATACTGACTGCTGTATTTATAGTCCTCTTAGGAGTGTTTATTATTGCTATGATTGTTTTGCTTTTTGAAGGTAAGCAGACTCCACAAAAATGTATGATTAGTGAAAGCAATGATTTCATTTTTAACGCTAATACTTGCGTATTTATACTTAACTTATTTATATTTGGTTTCAGGTTTCGTATTCATCGTACTTGTAACAATAATTAGTATGATAATAGCGTCGATCTCACTTGTCATAATGATAATTGTAGGGGTAAAGTACAACGTATCAATAATAAATAATTTAGATTAGGATTATTATCTGAATGAGCGTCACGATATTTTATAAGATTAAAATATTTCTTTAAAATGCTCGTATTCTGATATTGTATTCAAAATAGTATTGTGATAAGAAATTTAATTAAAAATTTAAATTAATACTTAATAATTAATTACTATAATTAAAAATGAAAAATTAAACATGGTAATAATGCCATGTTTATGCTATTATTAGCATTTGATTTGACTTGAGTTACTAAAACTGGCGATGATCCTACCTACATTATTCAATGTGATGCCCACATTTAGTGTGGATTTTGTTAAGACTTCTATAGCAATTAATAAAAGCGTAGATACTATTTTATTGAAAATTAATTGCTATTCCTAAAGGGAAATGAATAGGTTTAATTCAAATAAAGACGAATGATATAGAGCGACAAATCGACAATTAAGTCAGTTCAAGACCCCAACTTAATACTTTGCCATATCTAAGTGTGGGTCTAAATAGATAGGTACAGCAATTATTGTATCTCTATATGCACAAAATAAATATAATTTAAATAATTTGAAGTTTAATTGCCCCATCCCTATGCATTCCCCAGGGAAACTAAAAAAAGGAGTTGTACTGTTATCCTAAGTCATTGATCGAGCTTCTGACCTCTCCCTCTTGGTTGTATAATATTTGGCAGAATTCCAAAAATAAATACATTACATACTAGTGCACCGTAGTATGTGCAACTTGGTATTTGCACAAAACACAGAGTTGAATACACTACATTTTTTAAATATTTTGTTAGGAGAGGTACACTGCTATCTTGCTTTTTTGCTGGGGTAGTTAATTCTAAAAGGCTTGCAACACTGACTGCTGTCTGAATCAGTGAATGTGATGAATGAATCTGTGAGTAAAAAAACGGAACGAAGAAACCGAATGATAGTGCTCGATCGGGAAACGCGGGGACAGAAAATAGTAGTAAAATTAATCCAGCGTTAATTATTTGATAGCGATAACTAGTGAAATAATTAAGGAATCGGTAAAGGTGTATTTTATTATGCGTGAGAAAACTTTGAACCCAATAAGTGAACGAGTGTATAAAAGAACTGTTATAATACCAATGGATGGTGTCTCTGGGGTTTTTGGCAGCAAGGTCACAGCTGCAGCAATGATGTAAATTATGACAGTAAGTTTTGACTGGTTTTTGTTGAGCATTTGTAGATCAGCATTCGCGGATTAAAATTACGTCACCTACATGCACAGGTTTCAAAATCTAGTACATGTTGTAGCGACCTGTGTATTTGTACTTAAAGTTAGCAAACTAGGCTAGGTAAAGACACCCACCCAATTTGAAGAATTTTCAAATGGTCATGTATAAAAAAACTTTTAGCATATAGAAAATAAACGAAAAAGCTGTAAAATATTACTCATCAATATTATTCTTGTTAATACTTAAGTGTTGAATGACGAATGAACAGGTCACACGTTAATAATAATTGGACCATTTATCTATGTTTAATGTCAAGGGAAAAGATACAATAACTGTCTTCTTATCATTAAAGTTAGGTCACCAAAATTCAGTTTAATAATATTGTATTACATGAAGTGCAGCATGAAGGCATAACAATCAAGTCATGTACACCATTATTCACACCTGTCTACATAAATCACATTTTTGTACAAAAACAGCAATTTAGTCATCATTCAGGAATTGTAATTTGCTTGTCTAGTTCTTAAGAATGCATGTGATTAGCTTATTTCAACCTTAGAACAAAGTAATAAAGTTGAAAATAAAATTTAACATTGCCTCAATGTAGTCTAGTAGTAATAATAGTTTCTTGTTCGTTGCTCATGAAATAAACAAAGGATTGGAATAATCATGTAATAAAGGAAAGAGCTTCACTGGTTTTAGTAATATTTTTGCCAAGTAATTATTTATGTAGAACATCTATAAAAATAGAGAGAGAAAAAATAATATTTTTTACTAGACATAGACCCGCCCAGGTGTTTCCTTATATTTACTAAATGCATTCATGGGTTTTTGCTTTAGATAGTTTAGGATTATAGATCACCCACGAATAGTTCATGATCACAACACTAAATATGCAGTTAGTGGTCTTTCCAACATTTGATTTCATTTACATGGATGGTCATTTCAGTCTCATTCCTACAATAGCGTTGTTTAATAATGTATCGTTTTTTGCAATGGAATTAGAATTACAGCTAGTAAATGTGTAAAGATTTATGATATTTATATAAACTTAGCACACATTTTTCAACATGAAAACATTCTTGTTTCCAGAAATTATATTCAGCACAATCCGGTAACGGTCATCGTAATTGATTCTGTGAGTAACATTTTGTTTCCTTGACTATAATTTTTTTATAACTAAATTACAATTTAGATGATTGCAGCAATATACCTACAGATATAATTTTTTATCAGGAAATTTCTTGAGAATATCAAATAAGAAAAAAAGGATAAATCTTATAATAATATGGTATCTGCTAAGAAACCATATTACTTAATACTATCACTATAATTCATCTTTAATATAAAGCATCAATTATTATGAACACAAGATCATTACAAAGTAGTAAAAATACTTGGTAACACTGATATGAAAGTGGCAATAAATTTTACCTTTATTAATTGACACATTCCCACTAGATAATAAATGTGTAGACAGTATTTGCTGATGCTATTGTCACTTGCATGCACTAACATCCTGACCATGTCCTAGATACAATACAAATATTACACATTATACTATTTAGTTATTGCTTTATATGCACACATCTTGTAACTCTTCTGAAATATCTTACAATAATTTGTTATTGGAATAGGAACCTTATTTACACTGTAATATGATTGTTTTGCTTTACAAGCCACAATTCCCTTTCTTTGTTTCAATTGATTGAGTTTTGGTAAACAACATATTCATTTTTCTATCTTTAATTGAATTTGTGATTAAATCTAGGCATATTTTAATGGTTGTATCTATTTGTAGGGCACTTCGTCAAGCTGGCGGCCCTTAAGGATGTGGCTCGCGCGCCCTCGCTAGCACCGCGCGCCGTACGCCACGTAGCCACAATCACAGGTAATCTCACTATTCACACTCATACAATCAACACTTCTCTATAAGTACATATTACAATATCAATGATGGATACTAGTAGACGTCACCTTCACTTTTGACGTCTTAAGAAATTCGAGATAACTAGCAATCCTTGAATAAATAAATGCAATTTTTATGCTCATACATAGATAGTCCGGCCCACACATTCTATTTAATATTTAACTTACCTAATAAAGGATACAGAAATCTATAAACCTTCTTATAATCTAGATTTAATATTTGATACACTTTGTGTATAACAAAGGAATAAAAGGAACACATTGAAATAATTCTTTCTGCAAAAGATCATGTCTAAAATTATGACGTATTGAACACGAGTGTTGTTAAAGGTATGATTAATTAATTGGTTAATACAGTTAAGAAACATTATCTCTAAAACTAAACACTTGAGGCTTGTTATTATTTCCCTTAGAGGTGTTTTAAGTTAGGATTATGAATGGGGTAAAATTATAATGAAGGCGTGTGATTGGCTGGGTGCCAGATGGCTGCTATTCTGGGCGGGCGGGCGGCGCGCGCGCATCCAGTCGATCGCCGCGTTTCTACCTCCAAACTGTTTGCGAGAAGCTCTCTCGCAAGATACTTATCATAAGAAAATTATTGTTTGTAAATTATTTGTTATTAATTACGTAGTTTAATCAAATTGATGGTCGTGAAGTTAACTTAAAGTTTTATAGTTTTCGCAATTTTGATGACGCATCTTGAAACATTTGTTCGAAATGCTTTTAGTCTACCGTGAGATAATTATGATTTATTTTATAATTCCTATTTTTGTAGTGGGTAGCTTTGATTTAGTGTCATGACTGAATTACAAACCAACTTGTAACAAGATTTCTTTTAAACTCTAGAACTTTGTATTGTCCACTGTTTTTATAACAATCAGTTGTGTCGATGATGTAATTATAGTGTTTTTTATTTATTCACCATCAAGGTCTACTGATGACAACCTGAACTCTCGACCTAATACAAGAATGAAAGGTACAAACACAGTTGAAGTTTGTCTTGAATGGCATGCTTGTAATTGTAAAGTTTTACATATTTTTATTAACAAGTCTAATAGAAGATAAACTTTGTCATCACATCAACTTACGGCACATTAAAATCTTGACACATTGTTGAACACTAACAATTCTTACTTGGTCACAAATCATTTTAAGTTTTCCCTAAAAGGCATTCACATTTTTATAAAAACTTGATAGGATTTTATGATCGAATGGAAGGTATCTATCCAATTGATCTTTTTATTTGGCTTTCTTTTATCAGATAAGAGAAGTATAAAACGGAAAGTGAATCGAAAGTGAATTTAAGACGTCAAAGAAAACGAGCCAATTAATCTGTTGTATTGAATCTATATATCGCAGCACCGCAATGAACTGTTAGCCTTATGTAATCAATTCTATATAGAGTTCATGTGAAGTTGGAATATAAGAGCATAATAATATAGACATTTGACGCGTAAAGAAATCTGTTTCTCTTCCTCATTAATTAATTTAAATAGTGTCAGTACATTTACCAATGTAATCAGTAGTTACATTGAAGCATAGTGATTGTTATGTAATAATTTATGTTTGTTATTTATTGTTAAGATTTTTTGATGTATGAATCGATTATGTTAAAATGTTAGACCCTAATTCATGGCGCTACGTCAAGGCCACAAAATTGCGTCATCAAATTAGCGGGGCAGCCCGTGCCGGAGGTGACCCCGCTATGGTAGCGATGCCAACATATTGACGACATCCTTATTTTTATTGGTTATTCGAATGAGTACGTCGACCGTACCGCCTCCGCCTCTGAACTGTGCGTGTGGCCTCGCAATGTGTCTATTTACAGGCCTTTCTATATCAATTGTAACCAAATGTATTATCCCACTATCAGACAAAAATAGAACTCGTAGAATTTCTCCGTACCGAAATTAGGACAAGCATAGTTCGCACATGCAGGTTAAAATAATGCGGTAAAGATAAATGTGTAACACTAGGTATCTACTATCTATATCGTCGAGGTATCATTTTATCTGCAAACTGTATAACACAAAGCCTTTTGTGTATTTGTTTAGTATTTGATGGATTTTGATGCAGTTTCCACGACCATAAAGTGAGAAAAGAAGAAAAATAAAGTGTCAAATATTCTATTCGTTTACCTAACTTGATCTAAATTCCTATGAATATGTAGTGCAAATTTTATCAATCGGGTCGTGTGCATGTACTGTTGACACAGTTGTTAAAGATCAGGTGTCGTGACGTTATAACAATTAGAGAGATGAACATCGTTAAACGTTGACGGTAAAAGTTGCCGCAATGATAAATTAGCGTGTGATCGGTGTAATGCAACAGAATCCGTTCAAACAATATCGTCGTAGTCGACTAGATGCTGTAGGTATACCCACTGTAGAACTAGGGTACAGTTAGTATAAGGCACGCGACATGAACGCAGACTGTAATACAAAGAGATTGTTATAACTTCTATGAAATAGCAGTAACTTATAGTTCTGATTGTTGATAAGTCACGTCGACTCTTTTATTTTACTTGAATCATTGTTGCTAGTGGTAGGCGATCGGTTCAGTGCTATTTGTTATCGGATTTATGACGTTGCGTAGGTGTATATTATCTCCTATCAGAAGCTAATTACATCGGCGATTGTTTGGAAGTTCGCTACATTGTGCACGTCCGCAGATACTTTGGTGAAAGTGATGTTATTTGTTGATATACTTTAAATAGTGGCGATGTGATGTGAAAATTTATATCAGTATATGTAAGTGCAATATATGTGAACGGATGATGACTGAGAAAAGACAACGACCTCGACCGCGACGTCGGGATGAGTTGCACGAGAGGCAACAGGATTTACTTCTTGCTTGGAGTCATGGTGAGCTATTCCCCGACGCTTTAGTGTGCATTAAAGGCAGTGTATTAAGCTGTTGTTATTCTAAAACTATACTGAGTAATTTTGTGTAATTCAATATATAAATATCAAAGTTAAACTGAAAATTAGATGGCTTTAGAAAAGCAGGTGGAACCTAAAACACTAATAAGGCATGCTAAGTTGGTACCCATTCTACTTTCTAATGGTTATGAGCACGCTCATAACCTAATGAGAGTGACAGATCTTAAATATCGATTGTGTTTGCCAGTGGAGCTGCGCAGGCGTTTTACAACACACGTACTTAAGCGGAAACATCACTTGTGCACCTGTCTCGTTGCAGTGACGCAAGTTGACAATACTCTCTCGATATTGCATTTATTATGTAACGAAAACGAAAGGGCATTTTTGTGTGGGAACTTTCGAAGTACCCCACTTTGAACAATTACATAACCTGGGATGGTCTACAAAATTTTAAATCAACTCATATTACGCATTGTTTATTTACAAATGATCGAGTACCTGAAACAAGTGCGTTACAATATTTAAATTTTTTGGATCGTTTCCAACGGATACACCGAAATAAAATTTGTTAGGGAATGGACACGGGTGCCTTTGCTTAGTGTCATGTATTTTGTTCGAAGGGAAATGTCTATAAAAAGAAATAACGTTTTCATTTCATTAAACAATTGCTTGCAAACGATAATATCAAACAACAGCTGCATTATGATATTGCTATACACGTGGGGAAAGGCGTTTATATTATGTAGTATAGGTACCTATTCGGTAATACCCGATTATCAGTTATCAGTAATGTAGTCGCGGTCGCTTTCGTATCATTTTGTATAATAAATAATATATGAATGTCACTAACTTGAGTCTAATTTGGTTGATGATAGCATCGGAACGTTTTATCGTGACTTTGAAAATGAAGGCATATAAAGACGTTGGTCCTTTTTACTTTTTATAAATCCTACAAATATAATAACACATCTAAAGAGGTTTAGCACCCATTAGATACACACAAGGTTTCGCCAGCTATGTAAAAAATAAAATTTCGAATAATTGTGTGTCAATCGCCTGCGAGAGTCCCTAGACTCATTACTCGAGTAGAACTAAAAACAAGACAGTTTTTTTTGCAGCTAGCTAGATATTTTACAATTTTTTATATATAGGTAGGTATGTATAGGTAGGCCGACAAACAAGCATATGGATTACCTGATGGTAAGCTATGAACACGCTCATGGACACCCGAAACACCAAAGAAGTTACGAGTGCGTTGTGCCGGCCTTGTAGGGATAAAGGTTTTGGATATTTAAGGAATGGGAAGGGTTGGGGGGAAGGGTAGGGATTGGGCCTCCGGTAACCTCACTCACATGATAAAACAACGCTGTCTTTCACGTCCGGTTTCTGTGAGGTCGTGGTATCACTTCGGTCGAACCGACCCATTCGTGCCCAAGCTCCCACACTTACATTCAAACAGATATTTAAATTAGGTATATTACTTTAAATTTCATAGCAGAATTGTTTTTGTATAGTGAGTAATACAGCTTTCGTCCTTTGTAACCGTTCCAAAATGTACTGTTATTTTTTTATTTGGCTACACGAATGATTTATTCATTGAAGACAGTGTAATATTATTCTGAAGAGTGACATCACTATTTTAAATATGTTGTACGGTGTACCTAAGGAGGAAAGTTTTTATTTGTTTCTACGTCAATGTAATCATACATTATTTGTGTGCGCCTATTGGCTTTTTATATACTTAATCATAATTAAATGGCAGATACCATTTCAAAAGTAAATTTGTGATCCTGTAATGAAGAACCAAGAGATCTTTCTTCCAAATCGATTAACTTGCCTTTGTCTATTTTTCTACTGTTAACACAATACATAAACGTATTTGAACCAAGAGATCTTTCTTCCAAATCGATTAACTTGCCTTTGTCTATTTTTCTACTGTTAACACAATACATAAACGTATTTAGATATTAAAAATATTAAATTCAAACTATTTACTTACCTAATTCAACCAAAAAAAAAGAACGATGCTATATATTTTATCACAAACTTAGACCTCGTATTAATTATTTTAATGTACTAGTTATTGCGTAATAAGTGCTATGCGATCCTTCAGATGTCTATACAATTAAATCATAAATTAACGATGCAGTTCTAAAACGAATCATTACGCAGTTTTAAAACAAATAGGTACAATGGCGTATCACTGAATTAGAAATAGCGGTACTGCTTAACAATGCAAGGTTTCAAGTTAATTAGGTCAAGAAAGCTAGATCGACGATGGCCTAGCTCTTCAAACGACCTATGTCACTGTCAAGTGCCTATCAGGTCAGCGTGATAAAATTCACATAACATTTTCCAATGTCTAAACTGCCTTCTAGCAACTTAAAAAATGTAATTGTGTTAATGAATGCATTTCCTTATAATCATAATAAATACACTTACGTAACATAGATAAAACAGTAAATAGTTATTGTTAGTTTGTAAATACGTGTCACGCATACAAGTGCTAAGAAAATTGCACGTCACATATAAATGTATTCAGTAAAGATGATATGAATTACTGTTTTTATTTTCGTTCTACGTTTTGGCAGGTAATCGGACCTACATATATGACCATATGAGACATCATGACATCAGAAACGTTTTAAGACTCATCTTTGAGATGAAATATAAGCGTTTTTACCTAACGAGTTGGTACCAAATCAATCATCTTCAGTTCTAATTACATAACACTCCTAGTTTTGTCTAATTGTGTTTATTTAATGACTAATTACTGGTAGGTAACGTCGGTACGTGTGTTCATTCTCGTTTTTAAATCACTAACTTTAACTCGATGTTAGTACCTACGCTATACGTGCAGTAAGTAGTACGTAGTACATACAAAGGGCGGTGCAAGGACATTACTGGAGTGCATGCCCCCACAGATCGGTCAGCCGCCGACGCGACGCGCCGGGAGGCACATATCGATTCTGTCTGCAAACGCCATACTCATACTAAATACGGAAAGTAGACACTCCCTGCTCCCTGCAACATACAAAGCGTCTGTACAGTTAAACACTGCAATGCGCTCAACTTTTCTAGTCACGACATTGCGTTGAAACTTGCAGCTTTCCAACGTTCATTATCTTGATCCATACCTGTTTTACTGCCTACTACTGCTTAGTAAATTGTAAATAAATCTGCTATTATAATTGTTGAAGCTAGTTAGCACATTTCCATTTAATGTTTCTTTTGTCTACAGAGGTGTGCAATAGCGAGGAGGTGCCCGAGGTAGAGATAGTCAGTCTCCTACAAGAACATATACCAAAATATCGCTTGCGAGCGGACAGTCTCACACAATTTGGAGGTACAGACATTTTGCGCTTTGCTTTTTACACGTAATTTTTGAATTGGCAAAGCTTTCTTACTATTAGCTTTTCGCACTAAATATTTAAGTAGATCATCCATCAAGATCAAGATTCTGTTGTCAGTCCTTTCATCATTGTCAGTTTTTTTGTTTATAGTAGGTAATTATCACTTTCAATTCTTCCAAACGCACAAATATTTTTTATTTATAGTGGCTCTGGTATGAATGTGTATTTACTATTTATCACCATCGGCCTTAACATAAGATGCTTTCTTTGTCCGACTATATATATGTAGGCAGGTATCCAAAGCGAGTTCTATGCTGGAAAGGTATTTATGCTAATAACGAAAACTAGATAATATATAACTACGGGTAGGAGGTTCGTGACTGAAATGGCGCTCGGTGGAATGCCGTCATTTACAACCGGATTCACCAAAAAATCAATACTTTCTGGGATTTTCACGGCCACGTTCATCATATTAACCTAATGGAGACGGTTCCTTGAAAACCTTAACAAGTTTAGAGGAAAAACCAAAATATTACCTCTTAATTAAATGTCACCGTTTCAGTAAGAATGTATCTAAAGAAAGTGTTCATTATGCGTGTTGAGGAACTTCTAGTCTTCAATTCGTTCCGTGGTAATGTGATGGGTAAACGCTTCTTTCTTATGAATATTTACAGACTTACATCAGACTATTTCAGCTCTCGTGGTCTCACGAAGTGTGGTTAGGTACGAAATAGTCCCCTAACTCTTGACTAAGTGAGTGGTGACTCAGCGTGTGATGAATTTCAATTTTAATGAATGGAAGGGGAAAGGCTTGGTATAATACTTATAGTCATGTGTATGAAAATTATTTGAAGTCTGGCTTGTGACAAACCAAAAATGAATTCAGTTTCAGTAAGTTGCTTAAGTAATTGGGATGCTCGTAATAATAACATCACAAACCAACTCTTATTGTTAATGTAAATTAATGTAATGTAATAACTCTTACTCTTATTGGAAATTTTGCGATTCATAAATTCGTTGAAATATTTGGCAAATGTACGCAAGTTCCTAAAGTGAGTAAGCGACAGGCACAACCTGGCACTATATTTTATTTAGCTTTCTGCAGACTTACGCAAAAATTGATCTTTTCGTCACAATAGTGAAACGTTAGTCAATACGTTAAGAAATACATGGTAAGATACAGATTTAGTCATCCTGAGAAATTAATCTGAGCAATTTTACAATAGGAAGTAAGTTGTAAACTCCTTCGACCTTTTTTCGTATGATGTAATAAATGGAAAATAGATTAGAACGTCCTACGGACGTATATAAAAATTTGGCATTTAAAAATAATGTTTAGAAAAACACTTATAAGAAAAGCCTCATGTAAATATTCATCTTCAGATGCGTACTAGTTTTGTTTCAGTAGCTCTGCGTAAATTTCATCAGGTCAGTGCTCAGTAAGTAGGACATAGCCTACTTGGAAATATTTTTTTTCATACAGCTAATCTAGGCTCGAGACGTCAAGACAATTACACTGTCTATTATGTCGTTAGTTGGATTACACTAAGTATTTAACGGAGCTACTCGAGTTGCATCACATGCATAAGAATAATGTTTTATGAATACATCCGTAATGTATTGGCATAATTGAGCGTAAGATACTTTTATGTAATAAGAATGTCTGAATGTCTATACACAATAGCGAACTAGAACGTTTAGTTTCCAGACTTGAGTACGACGGTGTGCAACGACTCAGTTGGAATGGCAAGGTCTTTTGCGAGAGGGCCACTATAGTTTCTCTAAATGTCAGGCTGCACAACGAAAAACAGTTTAGAAGTGCTCTGTGAAAGTAAAACGGTAATTTAGGAATTTTCTCATCACTATAAACGTCTTCAACGAGCTTGTACAATATCATTCGATTCCAAATGCTAATTGAGTTATTTTCCTATAAAGTTGTATGAAAATGGCTGGAGTCTTTAATAACATTCAAAGCAAATGTAAAAGTTGAATGCCGCACCTATTTCTTGTAAATTTACTGAAAGCGCACTTTCTACGCTTTGCAGCTTCATTGCATATTCAAATGACACCTGACTATTGACATAGGAGGAATTCTATACTCTTCGTAGATAATTGCCCTTATTGTTTTGTTATGTAGACTAGTTAGTCTTTTTATAGAAGAGTTATTGGCATTCCAATACGGCTTTTAATTATATAAATGGTTTTTTCCAATGTTTGGAGAGGAAATATTTGAAGAAAATATAAAGGAATCTTAAGTTAAAGTGGATCAACACATCCAGTTATGTTGTTCCGTCGTTAGTTAGAGTTTGAGTCGCGGTTTCCGGCGCCGGCGCCGATCTTAACGCTATAAATAATGGTGTCTCATCGGTCGAGTCATCGCCCGCTGGCCAGTATGCGTTCCCGTACCCGACCGGTCTGATGCGTGCCATCTGTCAACCTGCTGCATTCGCTGCACATAACATCACAGCTTCTGAATTCAACAAATTCTAATGAAAATACCAAGTAAAGCTCCGTTTTAATAATTAACTTTACTATGCAATTTCAACAGTTCCTATTACCCACGATTACATTCCCTCGTTAACAATATAACAAGAAACACCTATAGTGGCTTCTAAGTTGAACAACCAGTTTCAATGCAGTCATATGCTCTTGTGTAACATCAAAACTGAAGATAATACTACGTGGTATAATTACGTATTGCTCGTAGTAATTGGGTGTACTCACAGGTGTAAAATTAAAGCAATGTATTCTTAGTTCATGAGAAGTTGTCGACATTTAGTTAAAAGTCATTGTAATAGGACGTGAACCGAATAGATTTCAATTCGTTGTGGGATGAAGTTGTTGGCGGCGGTTAATGTCGGATATGAATCAACGGCCCTGTGACGTTATTGTGTGTTTGGTCTCACCATTACTAGGTATGAGTGATTACTTCAATGGGCTTATTAAACTACAATTGTCGCAAATTAGCGTGTGAGCACATATCATACCAAGTGCGAAGGTCACTTGTTCACCCTTCCTAACATAACTACATAGTAAGTACGCAACGTATGTAATTAAAATTTCGTTTTTTAAAATTTACTAATATGTTTCAGGATACGAGAATCAAGATTGGTTCATACCATCGCCGGCGCTACCGGTGAGCGACAAGGATCTAGCGCTCACGCCTGACCAGATCAGGGAGACTCTCAATTATTTCCGTGAGTACTTTTGCATGTTTATAGTTTATTTTATAGAATACTCTAATATGTCAAATATTCTTTTAAAAGATTTTTTTATGGTTTTGTAATTAAACTGGCATATCTTTTAAAGAATATTTGACAGAAAAGAGTTAATTGATCTGCACGAGAACGTAACATAAAGTTTAAAGTGTATGTGGTTTTTACAAGTGACCTAGACATTACAAATCAGTAAACCACTATTTGTTCTTAGCGGCTTCATATTTGTTCAGTTACCTATGTCATGAGATCTTAATTTGACCACACATTTCTGTTACGTTCTTATTTTAGTATGGGATCACCAGATTAAATGCAGACTTATGCGTTTTTCTGATACTAGGAACCCATCCCACTGTTTGATTGCGCCATCATTTAAGGGACCCCCTGAAAAGATGATGCAAAAACAATTTTTAATATGGTTGGCAACTTCTTTGTGTTGCCTCAGGTTTTGCAAGAGTTTTTATACTAAGGTTATACACATATACACACAAGTTGCATGAAAAATAAAAACAGGAATGTGTCGGAATTTATTTATTTCTTATATTTTACTTATGTAAATGTTATCCTCGACTAAGGCGATCGACGTAGTCTGCCATTATTATAATAATATCTAGTACTGACGTTCAGAACAAATAGGATTGCAAAAATATTTCTGGTTTATTATAATTATACTCACTTACATTCTATAAAATGAGTTCCTTACAATACCATAGTAAAGATCAATTAATTAAATTAACAATAGTAGTGTTAATTATGCTATCTATGTCAAGTCTCGTCTTTCATTGGACGGAATCCGTTTCAATGTCGACACTATGAAGTGTAATCAGATTGTTGATGGTTATATAACAATTGATTAATTAATTAATTATAAGAAGAAAATAGGTACCAATTAAAGTGATATAATGAAGAGAAATACGCTGTTTAATCAAATAAAAACTTAACTAAAATGTTATAAATGTATAAAAATGTTCATTAAATCATTGTATGGTCTTAATTTTTTTAATCGTATCAACAACTGGTTGGTTGTTAGTATATAATACTAAAATAAAGAAAATTATATACTTGTTTTAATTATTTCAGACTAGCTTCCGTCTCGCCCGCGTGGTAGATAAAAAGTAGCCTAGCTTATACCAAACTTCAATCAAATGTTGGACCGTTTTTGCGTGAAAGAATAACAAACAAACATTCATAGATTATTATTTTTTTGTTAAAAAACGTTTCCCCACATTAGGATTTTCTCCTGTGTCGTGGGTGCGTTTACAAACATACAATTTCACATGCACATCACACCCAGACCCGGAACAACAATCTGTGGATCACACAAAGAGTTGTTCCGTGCGGGAATCGAACCCGCGACACGTCAGCCTGTTGCCCAGCCACCGCGCCAACCGTGCAGTCAATTCTCCCAAACTTTTATATTTATATTACTAGTAGGATTTTTTTACATATTTTTTATCTTATTTTTTTTTTGATATTGAGCAGACGGATCGTTTGCCTAGGGGTTGCGGGTATAAGGATCGGGAAGGGATAGGGGAAGGGAAGGAATTGGGCCTCCGGTAACCTCACACCTCACACGACGAAACACATCACTGTGGGTTGTTTCACGCCGATATTCAGTGAGGCCGTGGCATCACTCCGGTCAAGCCGATCCATTCGTGCGGAAGCTTGGTTCTTCCACACTTATTTAGTTATTCGTTTCGGTTTTGTAGGATGTATTTAATATTATTTTGTTCCTAAATAGACGCACAATATGAACGTGCTTAATTAAATATTGTTGCATGGGTCTTCCGTCCGTACTATTTACTTTATTATACAAACGAGCCGTGTCTTGTATACATATTTTAATATTTTATATTGTTTGATTCATAAAAGTGCCATTTTATGTCATCTAATATAATAAAAAAATATTAGATTTTTATCTAAATATGTAAAGAATTTAAATCAACTCTAACGAATATTTTTTTTTGCAGTCAAATCAGTGAGATCTCATAAGCTCGATATGTTAACAAATCTATAAAAAAGGTTGCAAAGGAATTTGACTTAATTTATTGTAGTTTTAATGTGTTATCTCGTTTAAATAAATAAAACTTCAATATTATTATTTTTTATACCTCCTGACAACATCACATATTTTAGATAGACATCTACTTAATGATTCATTTGTCACTTTTATAGGTTATTGTATGATTGAGATGGTTCACACGAAATAACAAAATAAAAAAAAGTTTTTTTTTTTCAGATGATAGAATACGGTAGTTTATATTCCATACGCTGGTTTCTAGACAGTCTTGATACCTTGGAGCTTTAATGAAATGATCGTAACATGTGGTGACATAGCATTCACGTCAATTAGCATGTTTATTTAAAAATAGCAAAAAAAACTAAGAAAAAATGGTATATCATCAAATCAATGCGTGAAAGGGTAATTAATTATATTTAAATAATTCACTGTGTTGAAAAATCAAAACATTTAATTTATTTTTGCCATAAAAACAACACAATAAATTACAGAAGATAGATTACTATCAAAGAAATAAACTATTTCACAGCGTTTTCGATAGATTCCTTACCTATCTATTACTTTAATGTGGTACCCATAAATTCCTTAATGTTTGGCGATTTTATAAAATATATTATACTATAGACTCGACCGCATTGTTTATGTAGGTGACGTATTTGTGCGCCGGGTGGTCGGCGTGCTAGTCGTATCTGTGGCAGCACTGCGCTTGCGCGAGCATAGAGACGCGCGACCACCAGTGCCGGTCGCGCCGGTAGCCACGCGGCACGCGTGCTCCCTCATTGCCCGTCGCAACGGGCCGATCGATACCGCGACCGCGACGCCGAAAAACGACTTGCGCCGCACGCATCGCGCACCATACGCCCCGACTCGTGCTAAACATAGAGTAGAGGTGCACCGTTGCATCGGTCGTCTAGCATAGCATTTTTTATCCCACGTGCCTCCTGCCGACACAAGAAACGGTAGATCACATCTAAAGCCGAGTTCTTTTATACTGTGCCATTATAGACTGTATTTGTGATATTAATATCTTATGTAAGAGGGTGAAACATTCCGCTGGTAGCCTTTATTAGTGTTTTACACGCAATTTGTTTTCTTGTAATGTCAGTACTACAACAGTCGGGTTCCTGTAAAGGTAAATTAGCATAAGAAGTTTCGTCGTCATCGATTGGGGGTGGTTTGGGAGTCGGGGGCACGAGACGCGACGACGACGTCGCATCGCGCAACAGCTGTGAGCCAGATCTGTTATCTTGACCGTGAGAGCATAATTATTATGTTCATTGTTGTCTTGTGTAGTACTTTACTAAATTTGAATATACTAGCCATTATCTGTTTTCCGTATTTAAGCGATTTGAGGCTTTACAGAAATAGCAATTACAGCGCAATTTATTCTATTGGTTTAACTTGTAGTTGGCAGTACAATACGCTAATATTGCCTTAAATTATTGTCAAAGGCATAGAGTATTTGTTTATTTCAGTGTAGTAAATATAGGTATATTTATTTTTATATGCAGCCATCCACTTGAATATCTTATATATTTTTATCCACTGCATATGTATGTATATCCTAATATTGATGAATGTTTGGTCATTCTACACCTTATTACAGGTTCTGGTCATAAATCATGGGTATGAGTGCATAAACGTCAGATGTTTAATAGAAAACTATTGTTTCCGCTGTAATCACTTTCTATTGTAAATGGGATAACAGCTTAATGATAAAATGAATATAACTCATGGAATTGAGCTGATGTATTGTACAGTTGTAATGTGGCATTTGTTGTGGAAATAATGTTACAAACTTATTGTTGACTGGTGATTTGTCTTCACTGTTTAATAGGGATTATTTGTTTAGTTTCATATTGTTTGTCTTGTCGTTCCACCTTTCTTCAGTCAGGCGATGTTGCTCTCTGAATCTATTGGAAGTCATTCCTAACTAATATCGTTTATTGCAAGTTTTGCTCTGATTAAAACGCGCGTTCAATCAGTTCGCATTTTTTATAATCACAAAAAATAACCTTTAAAAAAAGTAATTTATTACAGTCCACGAACTCGATCATTGACTAGGAAATATCGTAATCTGAATGATTTCGCGTGTAACAGATTGCTACTGAATACTTATTGAGTGTTATTTTCTATAAAAATATGCAAATTTGTTATAAAATTAAAAGTTGTAATTTTTGTTCTGAATAAACTCAATTGGCAATCTAGTTAAGGAGCTGACAAAATCTACAACGTAAAAAAACTACTATGAATTGTATCTTCTAAGCTGTTCTAAGACCTTTTAGTACCTTAGGAATGATTAGAATCTTACCTATATTTTGTCTTAGATTTTTTCTCTTGTTATAGTCAAGTTGGATGACTTCACTTCCTATAAAATCCTTGAGAATCTTATTAACTGTTATTAACTATACAGTAAATAAAAAAAAGCCTAGTTCTTTTTACTTTCTGTGATTGTAATTCATTTTAAAACGATTTATATCACAGTTTTTAACTTGTTAATTTGTTTTATTCGTCATAAATCTGTTTAATAGTACATAGTAATAATTTACGTGTTGCGCGTGTGACGTATTCGTGACAACATTTGCTTGTTTAACCTAAGACCTCTGTTAGTCGTATCGTTGGTAACACTAACGTTTACTTATATATCTCTTTATATACTATACATGATCACATTTGCAGTTATTTTAATAGTCTATTGTCTCTTTTTATCATTTATAAATTGCAAATAAAGCAAAATTTTAACGTTAATTCTTCAGTTAAAGTTTGCTTCAGCAACAATAATAATATTTTAATAAATTTAGAGTATTAATCGCCCATTCTATTTTAATATTGTCGTATCACATGCGTGCTCATTATCTGTGGCTGCTTATCTTATTAAATTCGCCCAATGAGGAGTGTAAGAAACGTCGTTCAATCATAACGAATATACAATATACATTGTAGTGAGTAATGTTAGTATGAC